AAATGCAAATTACAAATAGGAGATATCAAAATCAAACAAGTACAACAATTTAAATTCCTGGGAAGTGTTTTAACAGAGGACAGATAATGTGACACAGAAATCCAAAGATGCATTAAGTTAGCAAAATATGCCTTCCAAAAGCTAAGCAGAGTATTAAGAAACAGAAAAATTTCATTAGAAACAAAGAAAAGGCTATTGAACTGTTATGTCATATCAGTCCTCCTATATTGTTGCGTATTCTGGACACTTTCCTCAAAGATGAAGAGACTTGAAACGATAGAAATATGGTTCTACAGAAGGATGCTGAAAATGACATGGACTGAACATGTGAACAACAACAAAGTTTTAGATAAAAATAGAAACAAAAAGGACGCTTATACTTAGCATCAGAAAGAAAGAATTGAAATTTCTATCACACATAATGAGGAAAGAAGGTTTGGAAAATTTGATACTCACAGAACTGATTGAAGGCAAGAGGTACAGAGGAAAACAACTCATAACCTATCTCACAAGCTTCAATAAATGGCTGGTGTTTAGGAGAGATAACAAAAAATTTGCTAGTGTCACAAGGGATAGGAAATTGTGGAGAGCCATGATCCTCAATATCCTGAAGGGACACAGTACATAGAAGAATGACAATGCTTTATTTACAACATTAATCAACTTATTATTATGCTGCCTACTTATGCTCAAATACCTTTTGGGAAAGGTATGAATCCATTTCCTCCCCACAGCTCTGGGTTAAATAGTAAAACTTGTAGCTAGAAAAATCATTGTTATTCTCAAAAAATTTTTAGTTCCATATTCATTTGCAAAAAAGAAGTATTATCCTCACAATCTAAACCTTTTCTGCTTAAATAATACACAAAGGTTTGATAAAAAACAATCACTTGGTCAGTCAGTACTAATATTAGTAGTAGTAATTTAGTATTAGTCTGACTGCAAATACTTTTTGTTAATTTTTTTCTGATTTTAATTCCAATAGACTTGAAAAAAATCCTGAATGTATTTTTTTTTCTTTCTTTCTTTCAGTCAATTTTTTAAAAAAATGTTTAATTTATTTTTAGGCAAATATTTGGCCTCATTCTTCTTTGACCCTTATGCCCGTCCAGGTAAACTCTCAGGTGCATGGATGGAACCTGGTCAAGGTCAGTAGATAGTTTCCTTAATGCAAATGCTTTGCATTTCTAAATTCATCTTGTAAATTCTTGTCTTATTTATTATATATCTATTTTTATACGAGTAACTAGTAGTTAAATGACCAATTAGTTGGGATTAGTTTTTTGGTGATTATAAGACTCAATCTATTAATGTAATTGTAAGTTAGAACCTGTACAAGTAATGGCTGGCTACTACTTTCTGAGCATACCTGCCTGCTAGGATAGCTAACCAAACACTGTTGTAGAAACCTGCTCAGGTACATTTGAATTTGTTCAACACCCACAGAGCCCACCTGTGGTTTATACTACAACTATGCTGAGCAGACCTTAGTCACAGTTACTGGGGGAGAGAAAGCATAATCTCTCAGGATCAACACTTTGAACAAGGCCAGTAGGCTCAAACCCTTGGTCATGATGACTTAACATCCCTCTAAGACAACTATTGACGGCTTCTGAAGTAATATCATCTACCCAGTTTCACTCATATTGCTTGGGTCAACCCGTGGTGTGGTTTTCAGTTACTTTTCAACAGAATCACACATTAGAATCACCTCCCCAGGCTTCCCCAAGAAGTCACTCCCTAGAAAAATTGACCATGGTGAAATTTGCACCTAAGCCTTATGGTCAGAAAGCAAATATTCTAAACACTTGGCTATGCACTTGTAACAACAACGAATAATAACAAAATAGATTTAATAATATCTTATATAGTGGTTTTCTAAGTTTTGCTTAGATGTGGCAAAAGGCCAAAAGTTTGGGAACCCAGTGAGGATCAAACTCACTACTCAGCTGTAATTGATCTAGTGAGACAAGCTTGTTAACCACACCACATTGAAGTGCCTGCTCAATATTCAACATTTGTTTTGAAAGTAAAAAACCTGCTTATCTTATGTTGAAAAATTGTTTTCCTTTAAAAAGATTTCTCTTGCTAATGTCATGGTCATTTATCTGTCTTCTATCTAAATAAATAAATGGCAAATTCTGTTCATCTGTCCGTGTGTCTGAGATACCCCCCCCCCAACTCGGGTCACACTTACTCTACATAGATATATTATACCTTTTTGGAATCAGGATGATCCTTAGATTGAAACTCTGCCCTTCATCTGGTGCTTGAACATCCAGCATTGAGATCTGTGCCCAGGTGAGGTGGGAACAGTTAAAAATTCAAATTTTAAAATAACTGAAAAAAAATTTGTCATTTTAAGTTTTTAATCTTATGTAAAAGAGGATACATTTATAAAGCATATGTTAAGTTTGATTGAAAGATCAACAAAAAATAAGAAACCAGTAAAAATTTCCATTTTTCACTATTTACATGGATTTTCATTATATGAGTGGACTCAATTATCAAGTTAAATGACTGTTAAATGATGAAATTATTGTTGGCTATAATTGAGTGAAGTTTGTATTAGATTGCTTGAAAATTGAGGGAGTTTTTAGTTTAAAATTTGTGTTGAAATCAATTTTTTGTTTTTTAGTTTTTCACTAAACGTAGAAATAAAAATGAGGTATCGTTGAGCTTGTCATGATGCAAATAACCTACATATCATGTTTGAATGAAATCAAAAGAAAAAAGTTGAATTTATTTATTTTTGATTGGCTTTATTGATTATTGATTTTTTACACTAAGAACCTATCTTTTACATTGTACAATGTATGTACCAAGTTTGTTCAAAATCCATTTTTTGGGGACAATTTTCATTCCTGAGAAAAAATAATTTCTAAAGTAGGATTGAGTGAGACGGTTCTAAAGATAGGGTTCAGTTTATGGTATAAGTGAAAAGCCAAAATGGCCCCTGACTTTGTGACCGGATTGACAGATATTAATATTCTATTTAACGTGCAAATTCAATGCAAAAGGCGGGCCCTGATTTTGAGCCTGCTTATGTAAATATGGCTGAAATAAAAATAAAAATAAAAAATAAGAGCAAAACACAGCTGGAATTAAAAAAAAAATCTATAAAAACACTACAAAGAAGAAAAGAATAAAGAAAGACAAATCATTCAATAGAAATAAAGTTGATATTTATTTTAAATTTCAGAAACTCTTTTTCTATCAGTGGCACAGAATTAGGACACACTTTTGCAATTATATTGGCATAAACAGACACAAAATCATGGTAAACTTTAATATTCAGTTCACACATTAAAATGAAAATTACCGGTTAGCTGAAATTTTCTCAAAAAAAAAAAAAAAAAAAAATTCCAATAGAAATGAATGTCATAGTCAGACATAGTAAAACAAAGTAGAAAAGAAAAATACATTTTTATCCAGAATTCTATTATTTTACTTAACCGAATCTTAAGTGATTATTATTTTCAACCAAGTTATGACATTTTGGAATTGACAGATGAAGAAGCGGCTTGAAGTGACAGAGTTGTGGTTCTATCGACAAATGGCAAGAATACCGTAAACAAAATATCTAAGTAAAGAGAATGTTTTAAGGAAAATAAGAACTAAAAAGGAATTAGTATTTACAATCATAAAGACAGTTGAAATTTCTGGGATAAATAGTGAAGAAAGGTAGCTTGGAGAATCTAACACTCAAAAGACATGATGAAGGAAAGAGAACCTACAGAAATAGTGAGGAAAATGTCTTTTTTTTTTTCACCCCCAGCAAGGCAATAAAGCCACTAAGATGCAAGAAGTTACTGAGTGTGAAATAATATGAGAAAAAGAAAAACATTATTAGAGAAAGAACAATAAAACAGGAATTAAGAAGATAACGATTGAAATTGCATTTAAATTTTTCAAGATCAAAGTTGACTGGAAAGCAAGAGGCTGGACATTTTCTTCTGTCACAGTTCCACATGTAAGAAGTGTGAGAGAAGAAACTGTTAGCATAGAACTTACATCTAATCAATTCAACTGTAAACTGATGAGACCTTGCAGCTAATCTAGTTCTGCACTTTAATTCATAAAAGAATAGAAGAATAGGTGCCATAGAAGAAAGTTTATCAGAACGATTATCATGAAAATATTTATAGAAAAGGCACAGAGAAGAAATGTTATAGAGGTGGGAAAGTAAATGAAGTCAAGATGTCAGGTCAGGACTGATAATATTGCAGATTCTTCTTTGGATTTTATCAAGAGTCTTTAAGTACATTGCAGTAGCACCAGATCTGATGTGGCAAAATATTCAATGTGTGAGTGAGTTTGAGTGATTATGTCATTGAATAAGCAGAAAGTGGGACGGCAAAGAATTAAATGTTACTTAGAGACACAAAAATATAGGAAGTTAAGAAGAACCATGAGCATCAAACTTGAAAAACACTGAATACCGAAAAGTAACATACTTTCGATCTTGTGCCACACTTAATATATTTTTTACAAAAAAGATCATTTATTCCTATGGCATTTGACAGATGTCTGGAACAGTTTTGTTAAAACTCACCCCTTCATCCAACAAAATATCTTCCTCTCCATTCTTTCTTCATTTTTAGCCATTCCTCTCGTTTATTACCTCTTGCTACCACAAAATTTGTCTTTTCTTTCCTTCTTGTCTGTTTTTCTTTTTTAAATCAATTTATTTCCTGTGTTTGGTGCATTTAAACCAGTCTGAAGATGCAGTGTATACCAACTGCAGTAATAAATTTAAGTTTATAACAGGAAAATTGAAATGTAAGGTTTTTCTTTAAAATTTTTCTTAATTATATTTGTCTGTATGATTTGTTATAATTCTCATACATTGAGGTCTCTACTAGGAATTTTACCAGGATATTCATTTTTTAGGAACTCCTCAGGATTATCTTCATAATCAAAGGATTATATATATATATATATATATATATATATATATATATATATATATATATAAATGAAAATTTTTTGTATCTATTTTAGAATGTCATAATTTTTTCCTTCGATAAATGAAATTTATATCTGCCCTCCTCCTTCATGAAGTTTGTGGCATTAGAAATAGCAGCAAATTCATTCTTTTCATTCTCGTTTTCTCTGACTTTCCATTCGAGAAAACCACATCTTTCTTCATTTGCAACCTGAAAATACATAGGAAAAAAGTTTAATATTTTATTATTAAATTGCGAGTCTGAATAAGGATAAAATAGCTTCTACATTGGTATTGCTATAGAAATCTTTCAAAATCTTCTGTCTTGTAGTAGAGTTTTCCCATAGGTGAAAAAAATCAGTGCCTTTTTGTAAGAATAGGTTTTTGGTGAGCTGAAATTGAGTGAAGATGTAGGAGTCTGCAATTTTTGTATGTCCAATATGTAGTTCGGCCAGGTTGAATTCTTTTTGTGTTTTTCTGAACGTTGTTTTCCATACACCAAAGGTGGGTTGCATTTAGTATAGTTTTTTTTGCATTTCCATACATTCAATATTTGATGTATACATGGGCTAATAGTGAATCTGAGGACATTTTTTTTTTTTTGAAGATAGGGAGCCATTTTCCAACTTGTCATCTGAGGTGTGTTAAGTTTATGATAGAGGTTTGTTTAGTCTGTTTTCTGATCTCTGCATTCTTTTACTCCTGACTGACTGTATTGTCTTCTCTATTGGCTAAATTTTCTTTTGTTTTTCTTTTTTTTGTGTCTTTTGATTGGTAAGAGTCTTGTGTTTTTTGGTTCTTCTGCTTTGAGGCTTTCTAATCAGTTTTGGATCGGTGTTTCATTTATGTGCATTTGGGTCTAGATAAGTGGTTAATTTGGCAACCTTGATGATCTCTGTGGGATTTCGGAGTATCTTGATGTTTTTCTTGTTGGAAGGTTGATGGTGATATTATTTGCACTTTTGGGACAGAGGGAGAGGTTTTGGATAGAAGGTTTGTTTAGTTTGTTTTAAAGAAGCCTGGACATCTTTGAGAAAGGCTGATATTTCTTCTGGTTTAATTTTTCATAGTTGATTAATGAATCAATTGTACTTTTAACATTCCTGGGATATAGGGCATGCTGTTGGTTTTGTTCTCTATATCTATAATTCTCAAAATGTGTGTATGTCTGTCTGTTTGTGTGATTGGATGTTATTTATGCATTTCCACAGATTTCATCCAATTTTGATGAATTTTTTTTTGTTTGATAGATAATTCTTCAGTGCTGGTTTTGAGTCCAAATTGTTGGTGACAATGGCTCTCCACTACTTCCTCTCATTATAACTCTCAGCAACGTTTTACTATTTACTATCTGTTCTTGGATATATATCTTTCATAAAAACTTTAATAAAAATAAATGGTTTAAATTATTACAATAATATTATTTATTATTATACAGTTCCCCTTTCAGGCCCTCCCCACTTCAAATTATTAATCCCTCATTTGGAGATGTGCCTCAGTTGCACCCAAACAGATAACCCCAGGTGTATTTTGTATTCATTACTTCACAAGATCTTGAATCTACTGAATGTTTACCATTGCAGTTCAAACATTTCAACCACCCACATGATTCTGCACAAAAAAGATTTCACTAATAATTTGTAATATTTTAATATGATGTACCTCTTAATTAATATTAGAATTAAATTGATGTCACTAATGGACAATTTATTATTATCCTGGCTAAGAATAAATGACAACTATTTTTTGGTATACAGTAAAAGTTGACAAAAAGTCAATTGCGATGTTACAAGGAAACTAGGCATGGGTTAGCCTGGAATTTTTCACAGGTTTTTGTCCCAGACATACAAACAAAACCCAAAAAGTGTAGCTTGGAACTCAAAAGAATGTGTTTATCCATTGCTCCCTATTGAGGAAGTCATTTAAAGTTTATTGTTCTTCTAATGATATCCTAATTTTAGGCTGACTCAAATGTATAAAACCTTTCAACTAATTAACACCTTCATTGCCAACCTGCAGGAAATTAATTTTCTCCTGGGCATTCTGGCTATGATTACAGTGTAGTATCTATTCTTCACCATTCTGTCATATATTTTGTCTTTTGACAGTTGATGGAAATGTTTTGAGAGATCCCTGATCTCAAGGATTGTAAACTCCATGGCAGCACCTGTCTATTGCAGTAAGAGGAAAGGTTGGTGGATTGCTAATGCCAGTAAGGTCACAGAGATGGGGCAATTTTTGCCCTTGGCCCAGGCACATGGGCAATCCACATGGGGAAACAACCTTGTGTTACATCCTGCCACCATTAGGAGTTGTGTAAATACAGAATTATAGGAGAGTATATCTGTTCCTTTCCTCAGCTTCATTCTTATCTTTGAGTGGGACACTGCCAAATAATGATAATAATAATATGGTAAACCCTGGTGATCCTCCATCAGCTCCTCCCTATTTCACAATAAATATCTTCATGCATTTATGATATTTCAAAATATTTTATAGTATTGCACTAACAGAAGTTTTGCTATAATGTGCTGGTTTTGCTGTGTTATGATCACAATCAGCAATATTAATTTTATTAAAAACAAAAAATAGAACAAGCAGTTTGTAAGAGTGAAAGAGAATAAAATAACTCACCTTGCACAAATGAATGAAAAGTTCTTTTGCAACACTTTTCTTGCTGTATTCAGGTGAGATGTAGACGTCAATCAAGAAAATGGATTTGCCTTCCCATGAAGAAAAGGCAAAATGGAAGAACAGGTAACCAATCAATTGTTTTGATGCACCTGAAATGAAGAAAAAAAAAGGTATGTGATATAAAAACTATATTCCTTAAACCAATAACTTCCAAATTTTCAAATTATGAAAATCAGAAATCACTGTGCATTAAATGTGGAATTATTTTCACTTTTTAACTGGGCCCTATATCAGAAGAATCAGAAATATTACAATATATTATACCATAATCTCATAACTCAATCAACATTATATGGATTAGGACAGATTAATGTCACTTCATACTTTTCTATTGATTGCTTCCCTTGGTCTTCTTGTGTTAACAACTAAGCCTTGTATTGTTGCATTTAATTTAATAAAATCCTAATTGTATAAATGAATCAACATTTTATGTCTTCAAATAGATTAATGTCAATTCATTCCATGATAATGATTACCTCCCTTGATTCTCTGGTGATAACAACAACAACTACTAGCTTTTAATTTTAATTGGGTGAAGAGTTGTCTTTATTTTCACTGCTTATGTCTAGGGATATACTTTTGTTTTTACATGTGGATAGGAGGGGAAGATGACAGTTGATCCTAGATTTGAACAGGTTAAGATTGTTGTGGTTGGGGAAGCATCCTCTTGTGAGTCTTTTCCATAGAGCAGTGGATATCGTAGAGTTCTTAGTTAGTATTGCTCAGTTATTGCTCACCTGTTTCCACTGAGTGCAAGTACACACTGCCCAACCCAGGGATTGAACTCACAACCACAATGTCACCAAATGTGCAAAACCAACAATGGCCTGGTGGATTAAAAATTACTAATATTGCTAACATCTTAATTCAACATAGAGTTTAATTCATGAAAAATACTGGGACTTGTTACTTGAGAGATGCTACATCATGCCAGATCTTAAACATAATTTTCCAATATTAAAAGGGATTGGCTAAAAACTGAGAGGTGAGTTAATGAACTTTGTCAGATCATCTGACCTCATAGACAAAGTGTCAGAACTTATGTATAATCAGTTTACATTTCTGTTGATGTCAATCTTGCACTCACCAGCCCTGTCCCTTCTATTGAATCTTCTCATTGGCCACAATGGTCAGCTGATCAAATCCTTTATAAATATTCATAGTTCAAAACATATGTGTATACATAAATCACATGACATGATGAAGTGCTTTACTTTCAATGGACCATGTTTAACATTGGTGAACCCATTTATATATACTTCTGACATCAAGAAACACAAAAAAGTGGGAAATTTTATCTTTCTCAATGTTTTTGTTATATTTTCTGGATAAGGATTATAAAAGTTGGTTGTAAGTCTCCCTGCAATACATAGCAACAGTGTTCATTGTGAAAATATTTCCAGATCTAAGGGCGTCAGGTTTACAAGTCAACATGACTCTGATGGGTATTGAACCCACAATGATAGCACAAATGATAGAGGTTTAGAAGGTGATGCCTTAAGCTAAATTGTGCACCAAAGAAATTCTCCAACCAGGAACAATGATAGGTAAACTGTATCACAAAATACTGTCTCTAAGAAGATCCGGAATACCCAAAGGGTAATCCAAAATTAATCTTTCACCAATTGTAGGTTCTAAAGAAAATTCATTTTTTGTTTTGAATCAATTCACCCCAAGGAAGGTGACAATGTCAATAAACCACAAGAGGCTACTGGGAGTAGAAGAGAATGAGGAGAATTTAGAAGGAACTGGAAACTTAATCCTAAACAGGAAACAAGGGATGAACCTTCAGTCCTGTTCAAAAGACCAGAGAGGTATAAGAACTGGATGATAGGCAAACCTATTTAATCCTATTGAAGGAAAAATAAAAAAATAAAAACAAATAGCAAATAAAATTTCCGAGCTTAGGCAGATATGTTAGTATAAAGTTGAAGTAGCCTTTAGAAGGGTCTGGAAACCCAATTCTAAACAGGAAACAAATGTCTACTCCTGTTCAAAAGACCAGTGAGGAGTGTGAAATAGTTAACCTCCAAAATTGGGGTCAAAATGTGTAAAGAAAAAAAAATATTACCAGCAATAAATTTTTGAAGAAAAAAATTATTATCAGCCATACTTTTTTGGAAAAAAATATTACCAAAAATACTTTTTGAAAATAAAATATTACCAACAATAAAAACCTTGTCAGCATTAAATAACCCGTTATGGTTGATATGCCATAAAACAAAACAAACTAAACAATTTTGGATTGAATTAACAACTTTCTTTTATTTTTCCTTTGGCCTCATATTAAAAAAAAAAGAATCTGACCTTACATCACTTATCTGTTAACTCACCTTTTCATATTTTTATTTACTTTTATATGCTATACTATGTTAACATCATCCCAACAGAAGAAAAGAATATGGAACTATGTCACTAACATTGGTCGTCTGTGTTGACATTGAGCCAAGTGTAAGATGGAAACTCTTTTTGCAATTAAAGGCAACTGGAATTGAAGGAAATAGAATGGTAGGTGGGATTCCTTTGTTTCTTGGCACAAGTTACTAGTTTAACTAAGTGAGTTGGAGATGTGGAGGCCATCACTACATTGAAGCTGCAGCGGTGTGGTTGAGACATGGAGGCTTTCTCTTCATTGAAACTGTGGAGGTGAGTTTGAGAAGTGGAGGGAATTGCTTCATTGAAGCCATGGGTGTGAGCTTGAGACATGGAGCCCTTTTCTCCATTGGTGCTGTAGAGGTGTGTTTGAAGTGGAGTCTCTTGCTCTCTTGAAGCAGTGGAGGGGAGCTCAAAATGTGCAAACTTTGAATGGAATTTTAAAATGTTTAACATTATTTTTTTTTTTTTCCATTTCGGAATCTTGGAGTAAAAATTGTAAAATAAATTTAGGTAAAATAAATTTATGAAAAGTAAACAAATTCGGGACTTACCTTTTTGATCTTCAGCAATGAGTATATGAAATAATCTCCCCAAACCATCTTTCTTCAGGGCTACACATTTCGGATCAAGAAAATTAAAGATTATTGAAATTCATTTACAATAAAAAAAAAACAAAAAACAAAAAACCCCAAAAAAGAATAGAAATACACATTAATATTCAATGTTAATGTTTTTTGTTTAATCAGTCTCACCACATGTAAGGCAGAAAAGCCATTGAGACACAAGGGGCTACTGGGTGGGGAAGAATTAGAAACAGAAACATTAATAATGAGCAGGAAGAAAAAAAGAGTATTCAGGAGGACAGCAGATAGTGATTGACATTGCATTTAAATTTTTGCAGATTAAAGTTAGATGGAAAACATGGAGCCAGAAGGGAGTTCCACAAGCAAGAAGTGTGAGAAAAGAAATAGTTAGCATAGAATTTATGGTTACATCAAGCCAGCTCAAATGTAAGTTGATGAGATCGCAATGCCAATCTAGTACTGCACTTAAATTCCAAAAGCCTAGGTACCATAGTGAGGAGCTTATCCGAACAATAACCATGAAAGTATTAATAGAAAAGATACAGAAAGGCAACCTTATGATGGTGGAAAAGTGACTGAACTTGGATAAGGACAGATAATGCTGCTGATTCATCTTTGGATTTTATCAAGTAGCAGGTTGGAGCAGACCATATGAATTCAATATAGCCTTTCCGCTTCCTGTTTTGTAGCCATAATTTTGTTTTTTGTACTCAAATGATACTATATATTATAGTATACTGCTGTCGCCTCCACCACCACCACCACCACCACCCTGTTTAGCAAGTCTTTTTTTCAATAGGGAATAAATAGAGAAAAAGAAGTTCAGTATAGATACATGAGCTTATATGTTTTGGTTTTATTAAATAAGTAGAACTTTCCATATTCAGGAGACTTTTAAAAGAGAAACAGCTTGAAACACATTAGCATCCAAAATTAAGCAAAAAAATCTGACAAACTTACTTTCAGGTGAAGGTGATGTCTGCTTATTACCAGAACTGACTTGCTTCTGCAGAAATTTAAAAAAAGAAAAAGGTTTGTAGAAGTTTTTCTCATAGGGTTCAGTGTTGTATTGAGCAAGAAGTGGGGAGCATTTTGAACATGTTAAATAGTTTGTTAACCGTAGCAAATGTTGTTTTAATGTGACAACACTTACAAATTTTCTTAAAGTACTATAATTTATTTTTGTTCACTAAAAGTTAAATAAAAAAAAGTGCATTACTTTTGCTGTACATCTGTAGATTTTTAACCCTTGTTCCCTGTTTAAGATTGTGTTTCCGGTTCCTTCTAATGTCTACTCCAACTCTCTGCTTCTAACATCTCCACCTGAATTGATTTACATTAATTAATTTTTTTTCTCCTCACCACAATAGGAGTAGATAGGCTTGGTTATCACTTGGTTCATACACCTCCCTCATTTTTTGATCAACCTGCATTACTTAAATAGCAGTGTGATTGGAATATTCTACAGAGTTCTACAATTTTCCATTTGATTCTATTGATTCACATGATATCAATTGGCATTGGACAGATGCTCGCAATCTTCACAACAGGTATAATCATTGGAGCACACAGAATTTGTCGGCCTCAATATTTACATTCATTTATATAAATGGTTAAACTGTAAATTTTGTATTAAAAAAAAAAAAAGAAAAAAAGGACACTTTAATAAATGATCCCCAATGGAGAAAGACACCTTATTTAATGGTGGCTGCTTTGGAGTCTTTCTTTGCACTCTGTCGTATATAATTCTTGGTGTTATCTACTCAAATTTGTTTTATATTCATATTATTTTGTCTATTTGTCATATGTTCATCTGACTTGTACTAAAATTTAACTTTGACTGTTTATATGATATCACCTTGAGTGACTTGAAATTGGTTTTAATCAAAAAATTAAATAAAAAAAAAGAAAGATAGACAAAACATGTCCATATTTAACTAAACATATTTGAGATAATTATTGCTGCCAAAATACATCTTATGTGTGTGCGTGTGTATATAGAGAATGAAGGTGATGACTTTTGTCCTTCCAAGAAGAGATTCCATCCAAAAATGCTGATTTACTTATATATTTGTAGGATCAAGATTTTTATCATCTTTTTACATCTCTCTCTCTCTCATATATATATATATATATATATATATAAAATTGCTGAATTTCAATTAAATATTCAGGACTTATTCACAAATGAATGAAATTATTTTTTTAAAGGTTTTTTTTTTAAAGAAAATTTTGTTAAAATATATTTTTTTACATTTGTTATCCCCACTTCCCAACCAATTTTACAAAATATCAAGAAATCCATTTTTGTAGAGCATAATGTTTATATTAGTTATAAGCACAAGACTTTTGAGAATTAAAATCTATTTTTTTTTGCAAAACTGAATGCCCCAGAGAGTCTTTGTCAGTAAGACTATGAGTCTATAGAATTGTCCATGTTTGTCTACTCACCACTGTTAAAAATAGACTCTACTATAAGAATTAGCTTTGACCAATCAACACCAAACATTGCGAAACTTGGCTTGTTATTGGTCGAGATGACCCCAGAATGTGTATCCATGTTCAGAAATCTGTTTTCCCGCCAGGCTCTTGGGAGCCTACTTTGGTTTCCCAAAACAAATAAAAGGGCGAGTTTCAGTCCAATTCACCAGTCAGTAATTCTCCGTTATGCAGAGCTGCCTGCTTTGTTTTGGCAGATTGGGACATACTTGATGGCATCTCGTCGGGTAGTTTTAGCAGGGGATTGGAATGCCATCCTTGACCCCGATATAGATCGTATAGGGCAAAAACCGGGTACTAACAACCGGGATGTGAAACCATTGCGGGACTTTATCGATGAGTTTGATCTTGTCGATAAGTTCCGGAATGAACATTTTCAGGAGGTAGCATGGACTCGGACAAATAGTGGCAACTCGGCTCCTGGGACGCTTGCGAGCTACCTCGACTGAGTCCTAGTTAGGAGAGTCGATGTAGGGCTCTTAGGGTGTCCAAGTTTCCACTCTATAGTTTATACGGATCATAGGCTTGTCCGTGTCCGTGTAAACTTAGATAAGCCTAAGGTTAGAATGGCTGGTTACTGGAAATTTAACTGTTCATTAATTGGTGAGCAGGGTTTCTGGGACCAGCTGCTACTAATGATTCAGAGGGAATTGACGGGGGTGGTTGTGGGGAACGCCTGGTGGAATAAATTAAAATCTAAAATTAGAATGTTTGCTGCCAATTTTAGTTGTCAACTCAATCTAGATAGATTAGCGGCGCAAACGGCTTTAGAAGAAAAAGTTGATCAGGCCATGAAATCCCGTGTTAGAGGGGAAATAGCCTTAGCTAAGGCAGAGTTGTCCACCTTGCTTATCAAGAAGGATCAAGCTCTGGTAGTTAGGACTAGGTTAAAAAGAATGTCTTCTGAGGCGACGAACATGGCCGCTGAACTGCATGCAGAGGAAAATCGGAACGCGTCTAGGCGACATATAGCGTGCGTCACATTGCCAGATAAACGGACCGTGACTACAAACGCAGGCATATGCGGGGCCTTTTGGGATTACTTTCAGGTCTTTTCACCAGAGAGCCCCGTCTGAGCTGTGCTCATTTCGATACCTATTTAGCCGACTTTCCCTGCCTCGAGGCAGCTGAAGGGCTAGGTGCGAGGGACCCATCACAGAGTCGGAAATCTGGGAGGCGTTGAAACAGGTTGGCCTGGATTAATCTCCAGCACCAGATGGTCTTCCCTACGAAGTTTACTTGAGGCAGTCGCCTGTTTTTGTTCCTTTGCAGGAGCTGATTTTCAACCACTGGATGAAGCAGAGGTCTATACCTCAACGCTTCACTAGGGGTGTGATCAAGTTGCTGCGTAAGGACAAGAACGGTGGGGATGAGTTAGGGAATTTTTGCCCTTTAACCATGTTAAACACTGAGTTAAAGATTTTGGTGAAGATCTTAGCCAACCGTTTGCAGCTTGTCCTGTCTAGTCTGATGGCCCCGAACAGACTTGTGCTGTGAAGGGCAGGACTATTTAGGATAATCTTCATATGGTACGCTTGTTCCTACAACAAGGTGAGAGTGAAGCCACGCTGATTAATTTAGATCAGTCCAAGGCCTTCAATAGAGTTGACTATTGTTTTCTGGGGGCTGTCCTTTCAGTGGCCGGTTTCGAAGCCGACTTTCTCTCCTGAATCCGACTTTTGCACGCGACCCCCAGTGCGCTGGTGGAGGTAAATGGGGTAAGATCGAAGCCTTTCGTATTGTCTCGCTCCATTCGTCAAGGTTGTCCGCTTTCGCCTTTGCTTTACGTTCTTGCGTTGGAACCATTCCTTCGCAAGTTAAAGGCGAATCCGGTCCTGCGTGGAATTTTCCTGCCTGGGGCTACCACCTCAGCCAAGTATTCTGCCTATGCTGACGACATTTCGGTTCTTGTGTGGAGCAGAGCCGAGCTTGACGAACTCAGCAAAGAGATCAGTGGCTATGAGCTGGTGACAGGGGCCAAGATCAACTGCATTTAAGTCTGTTGGCTTGTGGTTGGGTGCGTGGAAGGGAGTTTCTCTTCCCGGACTTTTCTTCTGGACGGATAGGCCAATCAAGATACTCGGCATCTGGTTCGGTCCTGATCTCCAGTTGGAAATGAAATGAATTGGTCGAGGTACAAGGGAAGGCCAGGATCGCGGTTAATCTGTGGTCTCGGAGGAGACTTTCCCTTTAGGGAAAGGCAGAAGTATGTGTTTCACACATTTACCCGATTCTCCTGTACTGACTCTCTGTTCTTCCATTTCCGATTGCCAGACTAATATTATTAGTACGGATCTTGTTCTCTTTCTTGTGGAGAGACAAGGCCCCTATGGTATCTCGCGAGATCTGTTGCCTTCATCCCTATGAGGGCGGTCTGGGTATGCCTAGCATTGAGATTCGTCAACATATGCTTCGCATCACCTTTCTAGACCGAATGTGTCGTGGATCGGATGAGGAGGGCACCTTCTGGAAAGAAGACGTCCATAAACATTTCCCATCCCTGAGAAGTGTGCACTCGTGCGAGGAAGAGGCCGGCTGTACACCCCGAACTGAGTGCTCCTTCTATCGCGAATGTCGTCGTGCTCTGAAGCTCCTCTTACGGGCTTTGGATGGCCTCTCCAACTTCCAGGCATTGTCTTGTAAGGCATTGTATCAACTGTTAGTTAGGGGGGCCGAGCTCGGTCTTACAGAGCAGGATGCTCGCTCGATATGACCTTGGGTAGCTGGGTTGAAATCCCTCAATAATGATGAGGCATCACCACATGGCTGGTGATTCGTGGGGCCCTCTGGGTCGCCAAGAGACTTTGCTCAGAAGGCTTGGAGAAATATCCAAACTGTCATTGGTGTACTGGGGAAAACGAGACTATTGGTCACGCCTTTTTTCAGTGCAAGACGGTAGTGCCGTTGTGCAAGTTTGTTGAAGGCCTCATGGTTCGCATGCTGCAGGGAAAGTTTTTTGTCCTTGAATCCAGTTCTGTTTGTAGCAATGTGGTGCTGCAGATGATGAAGGCTGAACACTATGTGTTCTTTTGCTTACTAGGGGTTATGAGAGTTGTGATTTGGACAACACGTCAGAAGGAATTCTATGATGGCGATAAGTTCACCTCTTCCCAACTGATCTTGTACTTTATGCATCAGCTTAAAGTCAAGATTAGGACGGAAAGGCGGCGACTCACCTCATCAGAATTTGGCAAAAGGTGGGTGAATCTTGTGCGTATGTGCTGAGTAAAAGGGGCTGACCTTGAGTGGCATTTTGATGCTGGTTAGGCATAAGGATATTGTTTTCCTGGGTTGAAGATGGGCAACCCTTCCCAAGAGTAGGCTAGTTTAGGTTTTTGTAGTTGATTTTTTTTTTAGTTTTTCTTTCCTTTTTCGGTAAACTTAGCTAGGGTGTGTTTGCACATTGGCCCCTTTTATCTCTGTCCCCACTTTTTTTTTTTTTCCTTTAGTTTAACTTCGCATCCCCTTCCTCATTTAGGTGGGCAGTGATTTCAGTCTCTCTGGTAGATGTGGGGCGCCTTTCGTTTCGCGTGTGTGTTTTTCGTATTTGTTATTGTGTATGAATGTGTGTGTGCCTGTGTGAATGCTTTGGAGGTATGAATGTTTCTTTTATTTTCATAGTCCGGCATCGATTTCGTATGGTTAACTGATATTTCTGCCACATTTAAGGTTTGTGTGTGTGTGTGTGTGTGTGTGTGTGTGTGTTGGGGGGGGGATGGGGTTCATTACTAACACATTTTTGTTTAGTTTCTTGTAAATATATTATTTCATATTGTATATACTCATTGGGGATCTTTTAAATATTGTTGTTTTTTTATACCCCTCCCCTCACAGACAATATTTGTACATAAGGGGAGTATTTAGGATTTTCATTGAGAAAAAGAGGTATTTTGGTAGATGTAGTTGAAAGGTATGGATAAATGTGTTGTTTTGGTGATAGGGTCATTGGTTGTGGCTAGCTATGTTTTATATTAAGACAAGTGATGAACGTCCTTTTCCCCACCCCCCGTTTTTGGCCTTGTGCCACATTTGTTGTATTTTACAATAATAAATATTGTCAGTAATTCTCCTTCAGATCCACGCGTGTCTACATTATGACTTGAGAACTTTTCGCGCGTCAACTCCTGACTCAATTACCAACATCTTTCTATCTCTCTAAACCCCATTACAGCTTTCTTAAAAAGTGTTAATTACACTACGAAACAGAAACTGTAATGTTAGCATAAGACACAAGAAAATACAGTCCAGGGTGAACAACTCTGTCAGAACAAAGTTAACAAATTCAACTTAAAACTCACATACATTATTTTCAAATTTACTTCTCGATAAATTTTCCGTTGGTATTACAATGTGAACATTTTCTCAACAATTGTACATTGCTGAACTTTAATTCATTATCCTTGATGCAAACTTCGTCAACTTGCATAACATCAATACACAACCTTTTCTCTATTTGTAATAATTGTATATAAATGTTCGATATTTTCTAGTTGAATGCACATCCACCGTTGTTTCTTGTTAATTTGCATTGAATTTTATTCGACTTATACGTCTATGCTTTTATTTGTTGTGATTCATGTGAAGAACATGCTGTCAAACTCATCACGATAGCAACTAAAACCTTCTGATTTCACACTCAATTCATAGCGATCCCAACAAGTCAAAGTACCTAAAATTCAATAAAATGAGATTACTTAAAATATTTTCCTATATTTTTAATATTACTTGATAATTACTTGGTAATTAAAAAATTACATAAAGAAAGTGCTCATCTTATATTCATCAAGTAATTTTTACAGTTATGTTCCTCGTAGAAATAATCCCAAACATAAGTCTATTGAGATAGCTGTCAATACCTCATAAAAAAACCCACCTCCGTGTTATTTTTAAGTAAAAGTCTCTAATATTTATTTCAAATCAGATTAATTAAACTTTAAATCAGCTAATGTTCCTCAAATAAAGATTCATAAAAGTATATTTTATTTTTAGAAGACTTTTTAATAAAGAGAATCATGTTGCGTTGCCAGATTTGTTATGGCTGATTTTTAGCCATTTTTACGATATCAAACAAAAATTCTAATCAATTTAAATTCGGTTTGAAATAGATTTAGCCTAGGTAATTTCCTAATTAACGTTTGTAAAAAAAATCGAATGTATTTAAAATGAGATCTAATTTCGCCTTCTGTTTAAAAATGATTTCATCATAAACATTCCTCGGATATCTGCTGTTTTTTGTTTCATTGTAAATCCGAACTAAATATTTATTGCACCTCGGATAATCGATTTTTATAGCCAACAGTTTTTCGCAATGTGTCGAAAATTCCGCTAATTTTCGATGGAGACGGGTCTCTAGCTCTATCTTCAAAATTAGTTGAGACGCATAGGATGCCCAGATAGTGGCGAAAAAGATGCTCTCCACGATGGAACAAAACAGATGAGTGGTAGCAATAGCAACCGTTTTCGTCTATTAACAGGATCCCTTTAAGCACAATCGTATTTTAATCAGGTGGAGAAAAAAAAAAAAAAAATTCAGTCCATTCTCCCGAGTGAGCAATAACATTTCTTCCACCCCTATTGGTAGAGTTCATTGTTCGAAACTTTTGTAGTGGACGCCTACAAATTACTCAACAGTAATTGGACGGAAAATAAACAATACCTTTTGTACAGACAATTTACGCATCGCACGGGCCACATAAAAAGTTCTCGTGTTTTTGCTTCACCAAACTAGCTATAGAAAAAAAAATTAACGATTGGTCGATTTTTGGCCAATCACATTAAATGACACTTTCTTCAATATCCTTCCCGCGCTCGTTCTGGGAGCCATCTTACATCTATAAAAAGTAGAAATTAAAGAAATAACCTCAGTAGATTATAAATTTTCACAACCTAAACCACGTACGTGTATATTCAATTTTCTACTCACAAACACACACAGATATAAACTACACTCACACAGCACAGTGTACTGTCTGATTACAAGCCAAATGAACTATTCGAACGATATCATTCTTCTGCACAAATATTTCAACTTTCAAACTCAAACATTCTTAAACTACCAACAAATTTAAACAAAAGACATTATTACAACATACATTGTTCTTCACACAATACAAGGGAAACCGCTTCGTGTGACTTAATCTTTATATTGTTATTAACAGAACTATATGTATATGCTTGTTTTAAATATATGTTTACTTGTTGATTTTCATTGATCTCTTGTCATTCATTCTTGTGTTTTCTTTACAAATTTAAAGTGGAGTGTTAATGTAAAAACGCAACCTTGATCAAAAACCCTTCTGATTCTTTTCTAACCAACACCATTAACTACCCCACACTTTTATTTCCCACAATCAAAACAAAACACTACCGTGATGGGTGTCGTGTACGTGTGAGTAGAGACAAAAACTGCCCACTGGTACCTATATATAGGTAATAACTCTGATGATATCCCTCTTCTTCGTCTTTTTATGGGTAATTTCCTATTTTACATTCATTCGAATGTGTTTAAATCAGATCTAAATTTTGGCTTTTGATTTCATTAACCAATCCTCGCGGATACCCTGTTGTTTCTAGTTTCATTGTTTTAAAGGAAAGCGCAGGTAATCAAAGAAAAGCATACGTATCAATCAATACACTGGCTCGATCTATGCCCGATTCATATTTGTATTCATTGGTGGATCGATTTCATGTGTGAAACGTGCTGATCAATGGCAAAACCTGTAAGATCCACTGACAATTTTTAGAACAAATCATGGGCTACCCTGACGAGATTGTTCGGTGCACTGAAATAATTACATATTTTTCCTCACTGTTTGCAGTGTGTACCTCTTAATTTTGTATTTTTTTTTTTTATTGAAAAACTTTTTAGTTTGCTTTGATTTTAGTTACGAACGTAAATTAAGAAATTACTTAGGAAAGTGCTTTGCTTACTTAAGATAATTTATAGCTCGAAATACAAATTTTTAAAAATGAGTCTTTTATCGCTTTGCTTTTGGGTTTGGCGGTACCTAAAAAAAAAAAAAAAAGTAATACCCCAAAAAACTATTAACAAAAATATCAAAACTATGCCAAAAAAAAAAAAAAAAAAAAAAAGTGACGTCATAACACAGGTTAAAAACAAAAATATAAATAAATAAAAATAAAATCTATGTCTCAACCGGTCGGAAGTTTCAGGTCAGAACTTAAAATGATTGCACTTATCATCACCGACTGTTATTTTTTGTTGTACTATTCGAAAATTCGGTTAGCTTTTGTTTTGTTGAGTTTGACGGAGACGGCTTTTTAGCGCTATCTTTAAAAAAAAAAAAAAAGATGAAGCCGCATTCCAGGTAATAATTGTTAGAGTTAAAAAAAAAAATGCTATTTTTTTGTAATGAAGCAGAACAGGTGAGTGGTTAAACAATATAGTAACCACTTCGTCTGTGGGTGGTTGGATCTCTTGCGGAAGTAAATAATAAATGTAAAAAAAAACAAAAAAACCTTTTTCTGGAAATGACAAGAAAATCCGGAGTTACAATATGAACCAAAAAGACTAAACAAGTATTTATTTTTACTTTCTCGGGCTAGGGTGATAATGACCCCCTACTCCCGAAAAGGTGGGGAGCACATTAAAAAAATTCTGTAAACCAGGTGTTCATTCGCTAGTCCCCGCACGGTGACCAGATGTAACACAAAGTCAAAGAGCTGTAAACAAAAAAAGAAAATTTTTTTTTAATTACCTGAAATAATTGACAAATTTCTTCACAGTCCGCTGCCGTTGCTCTTCTAGTTATAAACTCTGCCATGCTTTCCAATAATGAATCGGTGTCAATCGAAATTGTCCCTCATAAAAATTGTGCTACATTTTTTATAGACGACGTGAGTTTTTACAGTATTATATTTCTCCAACCTTCTTCCAGGCGCTTTTAGTTACATTCACTCGCATTTCTTTCATATTTGCATTTAAATATCGTCATTTATTTTACCAGCATTTCTGTAATCACTTTTCTGATTTTTTTGTTCGCAACTCTATTTTTCTTTTAATTATAAGTAGCGCAGATAAACCAACCTTCACTATTATTAAAACTAGGCAAAATTTTCTGGTTAAAAATCCTGTTTTATTTTTATTTTTTTTTTACGGCGCTTTAAAAAAATACAAAATAAAAAACAAAAACACATTGATTTGGAAATTCTTGCAAAAAACAAATAACTGCTGGATTTTAATGAAACTTTTCTGAACTTATTCACAAATAAATGAAATTATTTTTTAAATTTTTTGTTTTTAGAGTCTTGGTAAAAAAAAAATATTCTTTTTACATATGTTACACCGCATTCAATTAATTTCATGAAATTTCGAGAAATTTAAATCGTATGTCCAAACTTTCTTTTATTAGTTAAAAATAGGACTCCTTGGAGGATGTAAAATGTAAATCATTCATTTGTTTTTTCAAACTTTGCTTGTTTTCTGAAAATCTGCTCTGAATGGCAAACTAGTAAAAATGTAATAAAACTTTGACATTATTTAATTAGAAAACCTTTTAATTGCTTTTGTAAATGAATTTTAGTACATTATTATCTTAATAAAAAAAACTTTTTCGATGAATAATGAATTTTTACAAGAATTTTTTAATTTAAAAAAAAATTTAATTATAATAATTTATCATAATTTAAAAATCGTTTAAAATCTCCCACACCACCGTATTTCTTTTAGGGGATATTGTATTTAAGTAGAAACTATATTATTTACGAATCAAAAATTTAAAAGCTTACCTTAATATAAGTCATTTTGCACCAATATTTTTAAAATAATTTTTTTTTTTACTTTTACCAGTTTTCATCTCTAGTCTATACATAACAGGGGCGGACTGAGAGTATTACGGGCCCTTGGACCGAAAATGCAATGGGCCCTCTTTCCCAATTTTTTTACAGTTAAATGCCACATATAGGGGCTGTGCAGCAGGTGATCTGTGCATATTGGCTTAAATAAGAAAAAAATGTAGTTTAAGATTAGTGTTGAGACGATTCCTAATTTTTTTCCGATTCCAATACCGATACCGATTCCAGGAAAATGTTGATTCACGATTCCGATACCAAGACGATCCGATTCCTTGCCTACTTAGATTCTACCTGTATGTGTAGGGAACCCCAATTTTCAGCGATCACGGGAATCGATTACGGGAATCGATCATGGGAATCGCGGAATTGTTTTGAAACTGAAGCCAGTTTTTTATTTTTATGCAATCATTTTCAATGTTAAATTAATCTCTTTTCTTTTCTTTTTTTTTTAATGCTTTAAAAAACTGTATTTTCGTAAAAAGCAGGACCTTGTTATTTCTTTTAATTTTATTCTTCGTAAATATTTCTAATTATTTTCCTTTTAACACCTAAAGAAGAATTTTAAAATTCAATGTCTGCATTCATAAAAAAAAAAAAAATCCCGAAAAATATTCATTATCTAGATTTATTAAAAAAAAATAGTTAAGAAACTGTTTGTAGGAAGGAGATCAAAGTCAGTTAGTCCCCCTCCCACTCCAAATATACTGTGTCTATTTCACTGATTAAGTTAAGTGTAAGTGGGATTTGTTTGACCTAAAAAAATGAAAGAAAGAAAAAAAGAGCAAATCAAATACATTTTAAAAGTTTTCTTTTTTCAACATCAGACTAATTTAAGAGAAACGTAATGAAAGAATCGGAAATCTAAAGTATTTAACGATGCGATTCCGATTCCCCCCAAAATACACGATTCTTACGATTAACGATTCTGATTAAACGTCCCATCACTATTTAAGATATGTATGCGTTTATGCATCAAAAGATTTAAAAACTTGAAGCTCATAAAGATGTTCATGGACACATAAAGTAACAGCGTAAATGACATGTCAAACAAAATTTCCATTTTATTACTGCGAATCAACACGTAAACAATGTACTAAATTATAAAATTTATAATAGATATTAAAAACAAATAATAAAATGGGTTAACATACACTTTTAAAAATATTACTTACATTTTAATACGTCTTAATATAAGATATACTATGCTTTACAATAATACTGAGCCAAAAATTTCAAATATCAACTTTCAAGGATTACAGTAACAACATTGTACTCATTTCAGTAGAGGATTCTGCAATTTTATCAATAATTTTGTCTTTGTTTGATTTGATTTTCATTGCTATGTCTTTTTCAATAGCAGTAAGTGACTCCAAGTTATTTTGTGTGAGCGAAGATCTCAGCCTTGTTTTCAACAGTCTTAGTTTAGAAAAACATCTTTCACATGTGCACTGAGTTACAATAAATTTATATGCAGCATATAAATTTTCATATGCAGCTGCACACAGCCTGTACTCAGATAATAGCTTGAAAGCACATGACAAACAATTCTTACATGTTGTCTTGGCAGATGATTGAGGAACATTTGTATCCTCCTCCTCTGAATCCAAGCTGTCTGAATCATTTTCATTGTCATTTATATTTTCTAGCAGCCCTTTGTCTTTGTAGCTTGATGCAAATGAAATCAGTTCATCCTGTAGTGCCACTATGTCAATTTCTGGTATTGCATTAGCAATCAAACCTAGCTCAATGTTTTGTGGGGATGCCAAAATTTCAGAAAACCTGTTTGGATCAAAGCAGGAAATTTGCTTATAGAGCTTCTCATGAGACGAGAATCTAGCTCGCATGCTGGAGAGCACAGCATCAATAACCGCATTATGGTATAAAACCTCAAAAAATTTTCTTCGTCTGTGATACCTTCTGATGCTGAGCGACTAGATCTCATGGTTGAAATTGAGAAGCTATTAGGGACAAAAATCTTCACTTCTTCTAATTTATAATTTGCACGAACAACAAAATCAGACGCAGTTTCATAAACGCCCTTAAAATCTCTTGAGATTTTTTCAATATTTTCAGTGGTTTTGTTAAACATGCGCCAAGCCTGCATGATATCCAGGCCTGGTGTCTGCAGATAATCTGACACAGGTGTTGTAATTTCAAAAATTCGTATGAATGTAAACGCCATTAAGATGGTTTCAAATTTGCGCAAGTTTTCACTCAATTTCTGTGCTTCATAGCGAACTGATCCTTTGAAATCAGTTGCTTCGCTTACTTTCTGAAGGATGATCAGAAGGTCTGAAAAAAATTCTGATGACTGATCTGCGTAATTGCCAAACAATTTTCGAAGTGCTCTGCTTCTATTTGACCATCTAGTTTGACCAATACGCTCTAGTCTTAGACGTTTCTTATTTCCTGTTTTGGTCTGCATATGCTCTTCCCACACCTTCATCCTTTTGTAGGAATCATTGAAAAATGAGCATAGTTCATTTAGCAAACCAAAAAGACTAACTGATGCAACACATCCACTGCTTGCATCACTGATCACCAGATTCAGAACATGTGCATAACACCAAGTATGGATGTGACTTGGGCGAGCTGCTTTTTCATAAGTGCCTGAAGACCAGAGTAAACACCACTCATATTTGCTGCTCCATCAAACGAATCTCAATACACTGCCTCAGTGTCAGACCTATCTCTGCAAGAGAATTTCGTAACAGGCTGTGCAAGCATTTTCCACTTGAATTATTCACATTTACCAGGCGAACAAGTCTTTCTTTAGCTCTGTCTCCAACTACATATCTAAGGACAATGGCACACTGATCATGGGCAGAAATGTCTTGGTTAGAGTCAATTTGCACTGAAAACATCCCTACATTTTTCACCTCCTTCACAATTTCGTTTTTAACCATGTCTGAAATAATATTTATTATCTTATTGACAGTTGTTTTACTTAAAAAAAGTAACAAATTTGCCACGCCCTTTCTTAGATGGATCTTTTTGTTTGCCTTGCAAAACCACCTTCTGCAAATGTTCCTGCAGGTGTGGATTGTGCTCTGCAAGAAGCTTTATAACCTCTAAAAAATTCCCAGCATTGTCCTGATTATTTTCATCAAATGCAGTTTCAAGAGCTTCTCCATTTTTGCCGCGGTAAGACAAAACTTGAAACCCAATGTAAAATATTGTATCAATTATACACTTTAAAACAGAGCGATGCTGAAGAACTTGTTGGGTTCTTAAGGAGAGCTGTTCCTTTAACAAATTGTGCTTGGCGGATCTTTCACAAGCATTCAGAAAATATGCATCAGTCGAATGCTTATGACACTGGCTCTTTTCATGTTCCAAAAGTTTCGTTGCGATGTGTCTCCAATCAGAAAAATCCTGGATCATCTGTATATTTCGACTTTTTTCGGGAGCATACATCAGACAAAATGAGCAATGTAAACTCTTATTTTCTTCATTGTATGTTACCCACTTTCTGTTAATATTCATGCCTTGAATGCCTTGTCTGTCATATACAACAGCACTATTAAATGGTATATTACATACAGGCTGGTTTGGATGAAATTTCCAGAACATCTCCTGAGAAATTGACGCATTATGGCTGGTATCCGGTTTTAAAAAATACGCACTTTTTGCATGTGTAACCTGCGTACTGGTTGTCATGGAATCAGGCCTTAAAATCTTAGATGGTGGCTCATCGAATTCGCTTATCAACGGAAATTATATCAATGATTTAGAAGAATGTGGTAAGATCTAATGCATTCACTGGAATAAATTGACTGTTAGTATTAACCACTTCGTCAATTTAAAAACAATATTGATTAAAATTTTTAAAAAAATATTTTGCTTGAATTCGCATTAAACCCTCCTATTGACATTTTAAAAACTTTGACTTAAGAAATTACATAATGCGAATTTAAATTTACTCAATATTTGTAACAAATTAGCATAATTACAGGTGTAAACAAAATAATTAGTCAATATTTTAACTTACTGAAATTCTTGGCAATG